GTAAAACAAAAGTATAAAATATATAACAAATGTATAACTGGATAAAACTGTACTAGTAGGACGTGTAGATAGTATCTCAATAACCAAGTAATGGAGTACTATATGGAGTGTCAATATTACCCAGTTATTGATAAATTTTAACATTTTGACTGGTTATATATATAAATTATATTGGTAAGTACCGAACAATATAAATTAAATTAAATGTAAAAGTGCTTATCAATAGTTGGTAATAAAAATGCAATTTATTGACAGGTGGTTCATCAGTTCATGGCAGTATCAAACCCTCTATATAATAATATACCTTAATAATATTTCTTAAATTAAAATACATTAAAAATTTTCAATAGTTATATATTATGTATAAGTCATATTTGAAATTTTAATATTTTCTTTTATAAAATTACCTATATATGCCTCTTATACAATTATTTATGATTATTATCTGTTATAGTATAGTAATGTATTATTAATATATTATTATATTTTGTTCACATTTATATTTATATTTTTGGGCTTTTTTTCCTTGGGCTTTTTTTCCGTGGGCTTTTTTTCCGCCTACCAGTGGTAACTGGTATAAGTAGGTTGGTGCTTATAATGACGTGTAGTACCTAGCTATAACTTCAGCCATAAGTTGTGATGTAAACATTTGTAGAATTTTGTTGAGTTATAATAGGCTTTTTTTACACTTGCAGACAAAGGTTGAGTTTGGACACTAAAATCATATAACTGGTCGTGAAATTGAAATTTAGTACCTATGTGCAGCTGATAAGTAGATGATAGTAGATATATCTATATTTATTCTGCGGTACAATGGCGTATAAGTCTATGTGATCGTTGGGGGTGAGGGCGGTTTCTGGAACCCATGCATTAACGATTACTGACGTTTGTACATAAATACAAACTATATACTATTAGGTATTTAGGTGTAAAGACATAATTTTGAATTTGAATATTCGTCAAAAAATATTATTGACATATGCCGGATATATTTAATTATTATGAAGCATTAAACTATCCATTTTTCTTTGCATCCCGTCAATATAAGTACTGTTAAATTACCTAAATAATATATTATTACCTAGTTTGTATATAATATATTAATATATATGTATATATTATGCGTGTTTGACGACTGCGACGTCGGCAGGACCAACGTCAATGGAGTTATGGTGGATCGTCACATCCCCCCCCCCTTGAATTTCTTAATAACAGAGAGCTGTCAGAAATTATATGACTGGTTAAAAACAGTTTTCCTAGATTTTCTTAGTTTATAATTTTAATAATAAAAACCGGCCAAGTGCGAGTCGCACTCTCACACGAAGGGTTCAGTACCATCATCAGCTATAAACGTGTTGGCAACACTGCTTATTTTATATATTCTAGGATTTTTAATATTTGTTGTTATAGAGGCAACAGAAATACATAATCTGTGAAAATTTCAACTTTCTAACTTTCGAAGTTCATGAGATACAGTCTGGTGACAGACGGACGGACGGACGGACAGCGGAGCCTTAGTAATAGGGGCCCGTTTTACCGTACTGAACCCTAAAAACGAGAACGGGTTCTCGGCAGTCAGCAGTATATTTTGATCGGTAATTACAAAGGATGACACTATTAATAGTTTACTATGTTATAAAAAATTTAAAATATAAGTGGATATTTATTATTTAATCAATGACTATTGACTCCACAATAGTGTTAGTATACAAATAAGGGGAAGTAGAATTCCTTGTTTTTCGGCTATACACACTTGACAACTTAAGAGTTTACTGATTTAGAAATCAAAATACTGCCGATTGCTATAAGTATATAATACCTATAATAACTTTTTTAGTACTGTCGTCCATCGGTATGCTATCGCTAATCGCTATCTCAAGCACCTATCTGTGGGCTGTGGGTGGTAGGCCTAAATTGTTATTATTACATTCAGTGGTGTCATTTCAGTTTTTAATAGAGTGGGGTATAAGTTTCGACCAGCTCAAATGGGTAACTCAAAAAACAACCACTGGCAAGCACATATTAATATATTATGTTCCTGGTCAATTTTTACACGGTGGTGGTTTACATAGGTTCTTCCATAAGTGTAACATGCAGATGCCGGAGTTTTATTTTAGATTATGTTTCCTATAACCCTTATCATGTATTGATTTAATAATATTAAAATAAAGGCCTATTTTAGTTATAATAAAGTTTAAATAATCCAGACAATCCTGTACCTGAATAACGGCAAGCGGTTGTATGATATACAAGTAACAATTAGTACTATAACAGACTATATGCACAGAACTATTCAAAATGTTTTAGTTCAATTTTTTTAGATTCTGAGTGAAACTATAAATGGATTGATTTTACAATGATGTGTGTTTTAGATTCTGAGCGGAACGTTGAATGTATTGATTTTACAATGATGTGTGTTTTTTTAAATTTTGTGTCTATGTACACGATAAGTAGTCGAAATAATGCTTCGATTTTCAACTTCAGTATCTTGTTCGATAGGAAAGTGAATACCGTTGATGCATTTAAGGGGGTCAAAATTTAAAATTCCCAGTAATTTTCAAAAGCACCAAGAAAAACAAAAGAAAAATTAAGGAAAAACGGGAATTTTTACTCAAAATCAGTTTTCCACAAAATCGATTTTGGTTTTTGGTGTAACTTTAAAACAAATGACCGTATCTACATGCAATTTTCACTGGTTGTTTATAGGTATTTACATTTTCTATACACGCTAATATTTTCAAAATATTTTGACTCATTTTGAGCTGTTTAAGAACATTTTTATTTTCCGTTTTTTTAGTTTTTTTTCTAAAAATATCAATAAAATTTTATTTGTTGGTTAAAAAGGCTTGAAAATTTAATAGAAGGCTCCTACAATATTGTTACAATAATTACATCCGAAAAATATTAAAAATCCTGAGTCACAGTTTATTTTTATAATCATTTGAAGCTCAAAAATTGACAAAATATGGAAAAATCACGAAAATTAGCAAATTATTTTGAGTTAAGAATTCGTAAAAATTGTTCTTTTTAAATCTAAGATTTTAAAATGTAATACAAGATTACTCATAAGTTTGTCTACTTTGATCAATAAAAAAATCTCTACCGGAAAGTCAAATTAAATTTTTGTGAGCATTTAGAGTTCATAATTTTACAATATTGGATATACACTACATTTCTCATGTACCTACCGATTTCCTTGTTCTGTTGTAATTCAAAAACGAATAACTGTAGGTACATGAAAATTTCACTGAATATTTATATTAGTATTTCCTATACACCTTACAATTTTGAAAATATTTTACTCTTTTTGAGCTATTTACGGACATTTTCAGTTTTTAATTTTTTTAGGTTCTTTTTCCATAAATATCAATAAAGTTTTATCTGTTTGGCCAAAAAGTGTAAAAATTTAATACAAGGCTCCTGATATATTATTATAATATCAGTTGAAAAATATTAAAAACACATATTCACAATTTTTTTTATAAGCATTTAAAGATAGAATTTTGACAAAATTTGTCAAATTTAAAATTGAATAATTATTTTGTAGTTAAAAATTTTTGAAATGTTCAACTTTTATACTAAGGATTGAAAATTTAAAACAAGATTACACGTAAGACGTAAGCAGTTAATTCTGTTACCAAAAAATCTAAAAACTACATTGGCACAGTTTATTTTTGTAGTCATTTTAAGTTCAAATTTGGACGAAATTACATATTAAAAAACCTAGTTATTTTGTTGTGATTATATAATATTATTAGTGGGTACTTGAAAGTTGAAACTTCAAAAGTGTATTATTAATTATTATATAGGTATCTCAATATCTGTGACAGTAATCATTAATCACGGTTTTTTGTTGATGTATAACGCGTTATAAGTACCTAATTTATATTGTGATATGATTAATTTGGAATTTATAATAGGTACCTATTATAATTTATAGGTCAATAATTTTTTTAATTCCATAGATATGTATATGTCTTAAACCTAGACTGACATACTGTCTCCGCTCAGAATCGTTTTTCTTATACAATGATATTATATCATTGAATACAAATTTAATACCATCCATTATACAGTGACCCACTTGTAACCTACTGTACAGCAGAACACCTTTTTATTATTGCATTTCATACATCGATGCTGAGAGGAGCGGTCAGCGATGAAGATATTGATTTTACAATAATGAAGATTTTTTTTTTGTGTATGTCTATTATATACCTACAATGTCAGTAGTTGATACAATGCTTAGAAAATACCTGCTTTCGAAAAAATAAATAAAAAAATTTAAATATGAAGTTGTCTGTAAACAGTTTAAAACAAGTAGAAATATTTTGAAAATTTTGTCAAGTAGGTATAAGAATTTATAAAATAAACATTCAGTGAAATTTTCATGTATCTACAGTTATTCGTTTTTGAATAACAACAAAATAAGGAAAGCGCTACTTGAGAAATCGAGTGAATATCCAATATTGTAAAATTATGAACTTTAAACGCTCATAAATATTTTATTTTACTTTCCGGTAGAGATTTTTTTATTGATCAAAGTAGACAAACTTATGAGTAATCTTGTATCACATTTTAAAATCTTAGATTTAAAAAGAAAACTTATTACGAATTCTGAACTCAAAATAATTTGCTAATTTTCGTGATTTTTCCATATTTTGTCAATTTTTGAACTTTCAATGCTTATAAAAATAAACTGTGACTATGGGCCCGGTCTACGATTAAACAGCTGATAACAGATATTTAAGGATTTTTATTTTTTAATATTCTTCTGTGATAAACCGTCATAAATATTAAATACGTAATTGCGTTATCAACAACAACGGCCTCTTGGCTCTTATCTTGTGACGCAGATTTTAAATCGTAGGTAAGAAAAAGTCTACCGTTGCTCCAACTTGAATATATTATTTATGCGTTGCTCATCAATTATTATACAATTATTATTATTATTATTCAAGTGTCTGTTGTCAGAAGCCAGATCGTCCGGTAAAACAACCATGGCCATCAAACACTTGTCTAAAGGTAAGTGTGGTGGGACGTCATGTCCATATTGTTGAACTGAACTAAGCTTCTTCCAGATTCTGTGGAACCGCCAAAGGTGCCAGGCTCATTGCGCTTCTACTCTATGCGATTCTGTCCATACGCTCAGAGGGTCCAGCTGGTGTTGAACGCCAAGGGCATGCCGTGAGTCATCCATCGTTTGGTCCCTAATTCGTCAATGTATTATGATAACTTTTTTTATTTCGTTTGGTCAGGCATGACACGGTGTTCATTAATCTGTCAGAAAAGCCCGAATGGTACTTGAAGATCTTCCCAGCTGGCAAGGTTCCAGCTTTGATTTATGATGACAAGTTCCTCTCTGAAAGCCTGCTGCTGGCTGATTTCCTTGACAAACAATACCCTGAACCGCCTTTGCAGCCTAGCAGTCCTCTCCAGACAATTTTGGACAAGCTCGTAATAGAGTCTTTCGGGAAAGTAAGTGCATGTAGCTTAAATATTCCACTTAACCAATAATTATATACGGAACAAAAAAACAAATATACAGGTTGTCCCTTGAGGATCTATCCATTAGCTGTAGACCATTCAGATAAAAACCAGTTTTTTTGCTGTTTTACCTATAAACTAAAGAAATGATTAAAAATCATGAAATAAAATGTTGAAAGGTCAACATTTTCAGAAAAAAAAACTAAAATAGCTATCTTGAATTGTTTCAAAAATAAAATGTAATATGTAGTCCTTGTTTCTGTGAGTCTAATAAAAAAAAAAGGTGGGCAAGTGGGTGTCGCTCTGCTGTACAGTAGGTTACAAGTGTGTCACTGTATAATGGATGGTATTAAATTTGAATTCAATGATATAATATCATTGTATAAGAAAAACGATTCTGAGCGGTGATGGTATGTCAGTCTATGTATAAGGCATATTATATACATATCTATGGTATTAAACAAAAAATTGACCTATAATAGGTACCTATAATAAATTCCAAATTAATCATATCACAATATCCATTAGATACTTATAACGCGTTATACATCAACAAAAACCGTGATACTATCATAGATATATAATAGTACACTTTAGAAGTTTCAAGTACCCACGAATAGTATTATTCAATCACAACAAAATAACTAAAATCGTAATTCTTGGTTTAAATATGAAATTTTGTCTAAATTTGAAATTAAAATGTCTGTAAAAAATAAGTGTGTTTATATATTTTTTAGATTTTTTGGTTACAGTATGAATTATTTAAGAGAATCTTTGTTTTAAATTTTCAACTCTTAGTTATAAAAACTGAACATTTTATAATTTTTTAATTCCAACGATTGATAATTTTCGAGATTTTGATAAATTTTGTCAAAATTCCAACTTTAAATGCTTATAAAAAAAAATCGTGCCTATGTATTTTTAATATTTTTCAACTGATATTGTAACAATATATCAGGAGCCTTGTATTAAATTTTTATACTTTTTGGCCCAACAGATAAAACTTTATTGATATTTATAGAAAAAAAAACTAAAAAAAATTGAAAGCTGTAAATGTCCATAAACAGCTCAAAAAGAGTCAAAATATTTTCAAAATTGTATGGTGTGTAGGAAATGCTAATATAAACATTCAGTGAAATTTTCATGTATCTACAGTTATTCGTTTTTGAATTACAACAAAATAAGGAAATCGCTACATGAGAAATCGAGTGAAAATCCAATGTTGTAAAAATTTGAATTTCAAACGCTCATAAAAATTTAATTTGACTGTCCGGTAGAGATTTTTTTATTTATAAAGGTAGATAATCTTATAAGGAATCTTGTGTTTCATTTTCAAATCTTAGATTTAAAAAGAAAAATTTTTACGAATTCTTAACTCAAAATAATTTGCTAATTTTCGTGATTTTTCCATATTTTGTCAATTTTTGAACTTTAAATGCTTATAAAAAAAAATTGTGACTAAGGATTTTTAATATTTTTCATCTGCCTTTGAAACAACATATTAGGAGCCTTCTATTAAATTTTCAAGCTTTCGCAACCAATAAATAAAATTTTATTGATATTTTTAGAAAAAAAACTAAAAAAAAATGGAAAATGAAAATGTCCCTAAATAGTTCAAAATAAATCAAAATATTTTGAAAATGTTATCGTGTATAGAAAATGCAAATATAAACAACCAGTGAAAATTTCATGTATATACGTTCATTTGTTTTAGAGTTACACCAATAACCAAAATCGATTTTTTGGAAAACCAATTTTGCGTAAAAATTCTCGTTTTTCCTTAATTTTTATGTTGTTTTTTCCCGGCGCTTGTGAAAACTACTGGGAAATTTATACTTTTGACCCCCCAAAGTACCAACTAGATTCACTTTCCTATCAGAAAAGCTACTGATGAAGAAAATCTAAGCACTTTTACTGTCCTAAAACGTGATGACAGACACAAAAATATAAATAAAAATATAAAAATATAAAAATATAAATAAAAATATAAAAACATACATCATTGTAAAACCAATACATTCATCGCTCCGCTCAGAATCTAAAAAAAAAACAGTTTTAGGATATATTTATTATCTTAGGAGATATCACAATGGACAAATCTTGCAGGACACGTTCTATATTACTATATTTAGCCTAATATGTGAATCATTGTTTGATTTACTTTTTTTTAATATGTTAATAAATGGTTTCATTGTATTCACTGTTCATTGTTTTGTTCTAAATAAAATAGTTACTCAACTGAATAAACAAATTGTATTTGTTGTATATCTTATTAATTGTTTTAATTTTTAGGTAGGTACAGCATTTTATAAGTTAATGATGACCACAAAAGAAATAGAAAAAAACAATTTTGATGAACTTGTTGCTAGCTTAATTCCCATTGAAACCGAACTAGTTGAAAGAGGAACCAAATTCTTTGGAGGCAAGTAAACAAATACAAAACATTGTTCTATTGATTTTTGTAAATTGGGGGAAACTATTTGAAAGCATGTTAATAATTTGTGTTTGTTCAGTATATTATTAACACATTATTCATAGATTCAATATACTACCTACTCAAATATCTAACTAACATTTGTAGACTCGTAGTTAATAGAATTATATAAGATATCTGCACACTTGTATCTAATTTTTTTGTTAAATATAAATAATTATTGCTCCACCTTAGTTGCTTTTTAAAACTGAAAATAACAACTAAACTTACACGTCTTATTAATAAGTATTATTTGGATATCTTAATATGGTATGTTATGCAGTTACTAGTTTATGTCTTAAATTATATTATAGTATTTGCCTACCAAGATCATTCACATATCACCTGCATGTATTGTCTCTGTCTTACAAGTGCGTAACATATCAAATGTACGTTCAGCTGTACTCATTTGTCTTCAATTTATATAGTAAGATTGTAAGAGTGAATTTACTTATTATCATTGACATAATAATATTATTAAACATAAAGGTGACAACATAATATTCTATCTCAATAGATATCATAATGAACTTTTGGAATATCTGTAAGGTATATTTGAAGCCATTGATATCTTATTACTCGTAAACTCATAAGTTAGAACCAAAATTGAATTTATTATTTTTATTCCTAGGTAACAAGCCAAATTTGGTTGACTATATGATATGGCCTTGGTTTGAGCGTTTAGATGCCATAAATCCATATTCGAATGGAACGTTTGTTATTCCTTTTGAAGACAAATTTCCCAAACTGGTGAGATTTGAGTTAATAATGAAATTATATTTATATATTTTAAGTTTTGCATTGTTTTATAATTTCTAGGCAGAGTGGAAATCCTTAATGATTGCTGATAAGGCTGTTGCATCGTACTACATCACTCCAGAAAAGCACGCTGAACATTTTACAAAAAAAAAGGCTGGATTACCTGCATATGATATCTAAAGCTGTCCTTTTAATTTTTCAAACTCAAACATTGTTTTTAATATTTTTATTATTCATTAGACATCCGGGTTAAATAGCTTTTTTAAATTTCAATAAATACAATTCTTTTTTTAACATTGAATATAGAAATAGGTTACTCTTTTTAATATTACTTTAATATAATCAATTACACAACAAAAGAGATACTGAATATTATAATTTATAAGTTTCAAATGGTGCTGGTAACTTTTATTCTTTTTTTTAAATTTAATTTCTACTTAAAATTATTTATTCACATATGTTGCTTATCAAGTTGATATTATATTATTGTACTGAAACTGAAGATACTAAATTAATTATTACGGTTATCGCCATTTAGTTAATTAAAGTGTTGGACACAAGCCTGTTTCTCATTAATAAATAAGTAATTTCATCTACTCATCGTTATGCTATATTTGAGGATCTTAGATTAGGTACACTCCGTTTTGAAATCAATTTGAAACAAGTATACATTGTCATTAATGATTTATTAATAATGAATATTATAAATTGTATTAATTTACATTTACACTTTTCAAGTCATGCAATATGTTGAGCCTGTAACGATTTATAGGTTACTGACTCTTCATTTATGTCACTCTCAGCGAATTTGCTTAGATAGACAGAACACAGGAACGTAGATTACGAGCCTATACATTATTTGCACCACCACCAGTTAAGTTAGAATCATGAAGTAGAGAGTATATCCACCAGCAGTCATATCTACATATTAAAGCGCATAATAATCTACCTAATAGATAAATCATAATAAATCAATATTGTTTCAACTCGTACTCTGCTACTCCTGTGATCTTCAATAAACTACCCTTAACAACAGGTTTACTCAGGTTTAGTGTACTGTATAATAATATAACTATTTTATATAACTATTTTAAAAATTATTGTATACGTTGCTAAGTCGTGTTCGATTGTGTAAGTTTTATGAACGCAGCTCATAAGTTTCTAGGACCTGTAAAATATAACTTAGAAAACTTTATTTATATCAGTCCAACAACCCGGTTCTCAAGGCCGGTTCGTGTAGAGAGAATAGCCAATCATCTACTCCTTAACTGGATATGATTTGGTATAAATATCGACAGCCACTTGGTTTAAATAACCAAGGAGGTGTGTTGCATGTTAGGCTAGGATTATAATTTATAATAGGACAACCAGATAGTAATCTTAATATTATGAACAGATGAGAACTTTATATGGGTAAACCTAGTACCTCAAAAGGAATCTTCATTATATTATAATAGTCGCAGTGTTTGGAAGGAATGAGTTCCAAAAGGAATGGATTCCTGGAACGAATTCCTTTTTATAAAAAAACAATGAGTTCTTTTTTTCAATGAAAAATAACAAAATTTTTCTTTTCTTTCTAGCTCCAATAATTTACACAGATATGTATCACAAAACTTTTTCAAAGAATTTTTTGTATGTTTTAATAAGTATCTATAATATATATATATATAGATGTTTTTGATTGATTTACAAAATATTGCATTGATAGGTGATAGCTGAATATTATTTATTTTAATTACATTTATCATCATTTATTCAAATTTCAAGTGGTCTGTCAGCCTGACAGCATGTAATCTATATTTAACATATTTTAAAAAAAAATAAATGTTTCATAAAATAATTTATAATTATCAAACAACTAAATACCTGGTTTTTCCCTACTCCTATGCATTTCTGCATTTCTTCTGGAAAAAAAAACTGACATAATACTAGGGCGGATTCACACTGCTCCGTGATTTCCAGAAAAAAAATTATCCATAATTTTTCAAAATAATACCTATAATATTTTTCCATAGATTGTTCTTTTTGTATAATTGTATGGTGTCCGGTAAAACAGAAATATATTGCTGATTTGACCATCGTTGAAATACGTATGTTTAAAAAAAAAATGTCGGTTCATTAGAAAATGCCGGATTATGTAGAATTTTAAAGCAAAATTTATTAATTTTGTATTTTTGTGTTTATTATATTAGTTTTAGGATTTTTTGATAAAATAGTAGATACCTACCTATTAGTTACCACTCACCATTCACCACTGTATTTATTTTATTTATTTAGTAGGTATTTAGTATTTTGTGTGTAAAAAATATCTATCCCCTTAAGAGAAATTCCTAACTACTCCACTGGCTCATATTATAGTCTAAAGGTCATAGGTGCAAATTGGGGGGGGGGTGCTAAGCCCCCCCCCAAAAAAAAAAACCTAAGACATACAATTTTAATATGCTATATTGCAATGGTCTCCTTGCTTTTAATATATTCAGCTACCCCAACCCAAAAGTTGAAATTGCGCCTATGCCGTAGCATGTTTTAAGGAGTAATATTTAGGCAATTTATTTGACACCGAATATGTGGGCTGTTTCAATGTGTGAGTAGTATCTGCCATCTGGTATATTAACAATTAACATACTGTGTGTAATCCATTATGGTTTTTTATGTATGGCACGTGCACGAATATGTCAAGTCGTCGCGGAAAATGAAATATTTAATATTTTTTTGTTTGCATGTGACTATAAAAATTAGTAAAAACGGTAGTAAATTAAACATGTCAGCTCAGCATATCCACTAAAAGAGATCGCGCTACGCAGTCGCATAATTCATGACATCACTCGGTCTCCAAAAGTAAAAACCTTAAATATTATATTTATTTGAGGGGAATTAGAAATTAATATATAACCATTAAGTTAACCAATCGATTAAAATATACACTTATAAAATAATTAGTGCAAAAAAGACCTATTTCATTGAATAAAAATAAAAAATAATATTATTGAATATTGATAGACGATAGCCGCGGCCGATAGTCAAATGTTTTCGGCATATCTATTTGTGGTTAAGAAAATTTGAAAAATGATAACTGATAAGATGACCCAACATTGTTATTATCCTTCAAAATCGAATCAGAGGTTTGAATGTCTAATTTTAAAAACTCGAAAGTGGTCCATGGATTTTCGTATTTATTTTACAGATTGCAACTTGCAATATTGAAGTGATTGAACAAGTTTTAAAATAAAAATCATAATCATTTCAACTTTATAATTTTTAATCTCTACAGCAGCTATTATTTAGGTAAATAATCAACATGTAATAACTCATTTTTTTTTTTTGATAAAATTTGATTAACTTTAAGTTATCTTTTTAGCTGATCATCAATCGTAAGTATTAAAAACCGCATGACAAAATGGGTGGATCATCTAGCACTATTCGAACACTAGAAATTGAGAATCCAAATGTGATCACTTTGTCAGACAAGGTTGTTGAGAGACTCCGAGGTCAAGAGCAAATAGCACCAGTTGACCAGGGCTCACACATTTTACAGACGTATGTGCAACCTTCGTCTCTGCAAATACAGAAGGTTGTTCAGCAAGAGCTAGAAGCCAATGACAAGAGGTGGGAGCAGCGTTTTCACCATGTCAACAACAGTCAGAAAGCTCTGAACCGCAACGTCGAAATAGAATACAAAAACACATATGAAAACGTCAAGAAATTGTTACCTATAATTAAAGACGGAGTACTGAGTGAAACTACAATAGAAAAAGAAAACGTTCTATTGGATTGTCTGGCAAATAACAAGGGAACCCCGTTGAATTGTACTGATGCTGTCAAAGATTATCAAAAGGTGTTATTTCAATCTACAAATCAAAAGGTTTGAACATCAGTAATTCAATAGAAACTTATATATAGGAGTTCAAATGTTTCAATGATAATATGAAAGATTATGCTTAAATGTATGATATTTTAATTATATACTTAAAATCATGGTAGTAGTTCTGTTTAAATGAATAAAAGGCTACTTTGTTATGTTGTTGAATTTTTGTTTATTGATATGATGAATTTACTTAAATCAACTCGACAGTTAAGAACCAAACACAATACTGTAGTTTTCTTCTAAATTAGGAGGTAAATTCAAATGTTTTCATTAAAAAAATAAAATGTTTTATTTTACTTCTTGCCTATTTGTAGTATTTTTATTTTTTTTATGCCAATGATTTACCCAATGCATATTATAAATTATTTGATTATCGAAAAATCATAGCTCCATTTGGGTATATAATATGCTAAATAATTGTCATTATAAACTTGATCATATTATTGTATTATACATGGGTATTTCAAATAGTAGTAAAATATTAGACAATAGTCGTACAAAGTAAAATTTTTGTATAATTCTAAATTATATTCTAGACTAATCAGCCTTGGAATAATTAAGAAATGTTCTAAATATTTTAGGCATATTATTGGTAACAATAGTTTATTTGACCAATTTAACGTGTGGTCAACCAAAATTAATGTTTTGAAACAAGTTATTTTATTTCATACTAAATATCCCTATTCCCTGGAGGATTCATATGAAGGTTATACAGAGTCAGGTTTACGAATAAGTAGGAAATGTTGAATTGGACATATTCATACATTTCTATACTGATCTTCTAATACTAAATAAGTTTAGATCAATTATTTATTTGTCAACGATATAATTCATTTCTCATTGTTACTGAAATTAAAATAACTGCAGACAACCCCAGTTTTCTTAAACTGGAGGTACCTTAATTAAGTAAAATTATTTTTTTTAGTTCTGAAATAAATTGTAATGCCTTGTACAAATTGTAATGTTATGGTTTATTAAATCAATAGTTATAATTTATAATATTATATACAATTGGTATTAGTAATAAAAAATAATGTAACAATAAAAATACATATTATTTTGAAAAAGGATTGTCATAAAAAATCATCCAATGGATATTTTATTAAAACACGAAACCAATAATAATTTAAAATTAATACAAAATTAGGTACTGTAAGTATACTATATTTTTGTGCATTTTGTTATTTAGTCAAAAATATTTTGAAATACATAATTTTGTTAATTAAAAAAATTATCACTTAGCTAACTAACTTAATTTGTATATCAATATTATAATTAAATTCAAGGTATTATGTGCATTAAATTGCTTACATAACCCTGTATATGATTGTTTTGCTATTTCTGGTAATGAAATGTAAGAAATACAATATAATGCATAGCATTAAAACATACAGGTATGCATATAGACTAGCAAATCTTGATGGAAGCCATAAAATAGTGTATGTGACTGAGTGTCTGAATGTATCTGAAAAAAAATTTTAAATACTAATTAAACATTTTAAGTTATGTTTAATTAGATATTCTAAGGTGTAAAAGGATAAATTTGTAAACAGTACTACACAAGTCATGATTATACCATGGATTTTAGATAAAATATAATTACAAGGTTGAACTTTTTTTTTTTAGTAACAAAATACTATAATTTAAATCTTACTATTACCATGCAAGTGTGCATGCTTAATAAATTTAAATGATAATTTTTGACAACTAAATAAACCAAATTAGTAGAAAAGATAACTATTTTATAATGTCTTACACTCTTTAACTCTTACCAATTGTTAATACACCATATCCTATATTATTTGATCCCATTCTATACGAACAGGTTGGCACAATTATTTCACTGACTGAATTTGGTGATTGTTGCCCAAACCTCCATTGGGCCTTGGACATTTCATCAAAACTGTTATGTCCAAGCCTTTGAATATATGTTTGTTTTCTTTTTTTAATGTCACTAATAAAATTAAAAGAAGAGTGATCATGAGCTGAGAATATGAATTCACTATTGAACTCATTTACAACCTGAAATAATATTTAAATGTTCTTAGAATTATAGTTGAAATTTAAAAAAAAGTTATAATACAAACATACTTTATCCGTAAATTTTGTCCATCTTGTTGTCAAAGGAATATGTGAAAACATAATTTTTATAGTATTTGTTCGATTTGTAGGATTATTGTTTGTTGGCATTGAATCTATCAGTTGATTTACCTACATTTCAATTCAATATCAATTACACAAAATAATACTAAAGGCATATTTTCAATAATTGTATTGAATTGTACCATGATAAATTCTATCTTTTCATTTTCAATTACTCCTGGCGAACCAAAGTAAAGATTAAATCTATCAACTTTTTCTCGAATTACAATTTCTTCATCCCCACCAATATCATTATCACCTGGTATAAAAATTACCTAAAAAGGAACAAGGATTTATTAATATTAAATATTAAATACAATTTAAAATATTAATTGATTAAAATAAAGTAACTACTTACATTTTTAGATGCAAGAGGAATTGTATTTTTTAAAAAAAATGTTTTACTAAATCTATGTAAATAACGTTCAAAAGTTTTTTGATCAGCTAATGATCCTTCATCTATTAAATCACCCATAAATATAACATTATCGGGGTTAACATGCTGCAACGCTCGACCGTATGTATTGAATAAATATCGATCGCTATCCCAGCGTGCTATTACATTTGCTCTTTCTTCTCCTAATATTTGTGGATCAGCAACTAGTAAGATGGTCTTACAAAATTTCTCATTACCACAGTATAATGTTGGCCATTTACTTGCATACAGTGAGTATACCAACCATTCATTGTAAATTGTAGTAGAAGCAAGAAGCAATACCAAATAATAATAAATATATTCACTGAAAACACAAAAAAAAAAATATAATATTAATGATAATTTATATTTGAAATAAAAAAAGGTTGTACTAATCGTCATATTGTATGATTTTAAACTGTATAGTATTTGGCCCAGTAATTTTTTAAAAAATAAACCAAACATTTTATTTTGGGCAGGACTTGTAAAAAAAACATTATTTATTTCCACCTTGGTATATTTACTGGAAATTATAGATTAGTAAGACTTTTCAAGTTGTTTGGTTTTTAAATAAGTTATAGATCTTATTTCACATTTTATATTTATGAAATAACTAGTTTCTCATATTGATGTTTAGACTATGTATATTAGATAGACTGTATTTAATATTTATTATATTTTTCAATTAAATAAAAAAAATATATATATATTATATTATATTAGTCTATGATAGTTATACTCTTTAATTCTTAATTACACAGTAGCAATTTTGTATACATTCTATCACACATAAACATACTTTAATTTGTGTTTGGTCAGTTGAATAACAGTCTTCAGTCTCGTTAAATAAAACAAATGAAACATTTTAATGGTAAGCTCATTGACAATAAAAACACAAAACAATAAACATCGTTAATTTTTGATATATAGCAACGGATGGAATTTAATAGGCAGCTTCCACAGATAAGACTGAAATCGAAAAAATATTTGAGAAAATGAAAGCGGTACCTAATACAGCAATCAGTTATTGAGTTATGGTTTATGACTTATATGGTTCTCAACGAGTTTTATATTTTCAAAAAGAAAAAGAAAAATATAGTAGGTACTCATAAACAGTCGTAACCACAGTCTTAATTTATGTAACTACCAACAAATATTAATCTTAACATTTCACATTTCACAAGTACAATATTACTATAGTAATAGTAATAAATTAATAATATTATAATATTGAATTATTTAATAACCAGGAATAATTATCTAAATATTTATATTTTATACATTTTAATATTTTATCTTCATCCGTGCTTACATGGTTATCACTTCTTATCAACCGTTAACATAGATATCACCACGGACATATCAATACCAATATTGTTATTTGTTAATATTGTTCTATGTCAATACCACGACTATCTTAAATATATATTAAATCGTGGTCAATATCAAGGTGTACGTTGGATATAGCCATATAGGTAACCACAATATAACGAAAATGGATTTATTGAAAAATCCATCTTGGATTTCACAGAATTATCCACCTTGGCTAGGGATAGTAATATAATAAATAAGCCATAAAGTATATAAGTATAAATGGTTAATGGATATATTATATTATTCTGTAGAGGACAATCAATGGAGATATGGAGTTGCAACTTGCAAGCTTGGATGTGGAAGATGTAAAAACCATTACCAATTAAATTTTAAATTTAATAAAGTCATGGTAAAATGTGTTACCATCAAGTAAATACGTGTCTACGGTTTACCACGACCGCGTACTGCAAGTCTGCAAACTGTAACCACAATTCTCATTTCTCAAATCTGTGTGTTCCGGTGTTCGGTGACAGCCGACAGGATGGCGGAAAGCGTCACAACGTAATCAAGTCCGGTTCGACCAATCGGCGGGCTCCACACTCGCGAAAGTGGGAAATATTTTGTACCGGTGAGGTGGCCACACCGGTTTGTCTGAGGGAAAATAAAACCGATAATAAATATATACGTCGGGGCCGCCCGGCGAATGGCAATTGGCAATCCGTTTCGTGGTTTCGTCGACTCTCGGTGTCTCTAGTGCTTTCCTATCATGGTTCGTCGTCATGTTTACTAGTTTCAAGTCTCAACTTTTAGTTAAGTAAATATTATACATTTTTCTCTAAATCTTTGGTCGACTTGCTGCCCCACCGGCCACCACTTCAGACATGCAGCAGTATATACGATATACCAGAAATCTGTTCCTGAGAGGCGTCTCTGTCATCTACCTGCAAGCATTCGTTGCACTCTACGTGCAAAATTCCGGTGAGTATGCGACAGGATTCCACGGTGGGCTGGCATCCTTTTTTCTCTGATCTGATTGATCCAATCCCGGCATGCAAGACTCTTGTATGTTTCGTTGTCACTAGCCTTTAGTTTCGTATTTCGACGGTGTCGTGGTACTGGAGGTTGCATAGCCTTTGTACCACGAATTATAATTAATTAACTAATTATTATTTTACCCTCGTTATTAAGCCAATACTTTTAGACGATTGATTGGTCCCCCTTCCGCTATCTCATTCGATTTTGATTGAACTGACATTGTTTCATCAACCCTCACTCGTTCATATCGATATCACCGTTGTTAATAAATGTTTTTTTGATGACATTGGATTTATAGTTTATACAATTGTTAGATTCCATGTAACTCAATAAACAGAACAAACTTACTTCACTTTTTACACTACCTGTCTATCTGTCAATCTGTGTCAAATCAAAATCAAAATCAATACTGATGATAAGTGATCAGATAAGTACTCAACGACAATAAATAATATTTGTATAATAAATATTGTCATGGTAATTTAAATTTAATGTATTCGGATTTTAGACTCTAGACTTTAAATATTTGAGAGGTCTAGAACAAACTTCTTTGTATAGGTACATAATATTTAATAGATACTACTATTATTATGTTAATATTATTCTTATATTCTTATTAAATATATAATTGTATACTTAAAAACATCAAAGGTAAACAATATGTATACTTGAAAATTTTAATGGTTCTAGACCTGGAACAGTGCCAGACTGATACAAAGAGATAATTCCCTCACTTAACAAATATTACCTACCTCACTATAAAGAATATCATTAATTATTAACTTAATATTTTTTTAATTTTACCTATTTAAAAATAATTTTTTTCCCAAAGCTAATTCTTATTACCAAGTCAAATGTTTGATGTCATATTTTGGCTTTTAGTCAGTTTGATGATAAAATTATAAAATTAATGACACTAAAAAATAACTTTATTGAGGTGACTGGTTAATTAATAAAAATTGTTTTGTCTTGTAGAATTTTGTTGTCAGGTGGTTATTATATAAAATTTTAAACTGTTGATTTTAATAACTATTTCAATAAAATAGATATATTAGGTTAACCTATGTGAGTTTGAGAGGTAAGTTATTACAAAAAGATAGTTGGTAGGAAAAATGGCTAAAGTGCACTTTACCACCCCATGCATATTTTTCGATTTTTTTTTTTCGGAACTTATGTAACTCATCGAGTTTAGAACGATGGTGCAATCAGAATTTGTCGCTCTCACTTAGTTTTGAAGTTATGGCCCTTGGAAGTAAGCAATTTTGTGTTTTTTTAAGCATGAGCGCAACGCTACGTGTCACGTCTTTCGCGATTTTTTTTTTTTTATTCGTGAGACTTGTTATATTAATGAAATTATTAATGAGTACCTATTACTTATTTTTAAGCCTAGGTTGTTGTTGTTACTTATGGCACAATCATTTAATTTTGGACTTACAAATATTAGAACACACAATTACTAAATTGTTAAATTTTAATTAAATTATATGCTACCATACTAAATAAAAAATAAACGAGTGAACAAACACGAGATTAACTTCACTAGAACGCAGCACTTGCCGCAATGACATTTTAATTGTTTATTAAAATATAGTTTCTTTAATAATATAATATAATCTAAAATCGTATTTATAATTGAATGATTATTATCAGGTAGGTAGGTACCTACTATAGGTATAATGCGAGAATTTATTTAAACCAGATTGACTATTTCTACTTACAGGAGAGGAATATTTTTAATTGTCCGAGCGAGCGAGTGACCCCGCTACGTGACTCGGTGCAACAAAAATGCAATGTTCTTAACCCTGTGACCCACTTGGGGAGGTTTTTCATAGCAAATCGGGGGATAAATTATTATTGCACCATCGTTTTAAACAGGTTAGAATACGTAAGTACAAAAAAATAACAAAAATAGTCCTCCGCGCGGTGCGGGACATTATAGTAATGTTGCGCGCATGCGTATAAAAGTAAAATTGAAAACTTTGGAAGGCCATAACTTCAAAACTAAGTGAGATCGACAAATTCTGATTGCACCATCGTTCATAAAAAAAAAAATCGTTACATTTGCATGGGGTGGTAAAGTGCACTTGTTCCGGAAAAATGTTAACAGGTTCAATTGTAAATTCGCAACATAGGTACCTACCTTTAGGTAGTTGTGTAGGTGGTAGAACCTAATATATTTTATAAATCGGGTAGGTAGGTATTGAGTATTTGTTATTAATTGTTCAAATGAGTCATTTAAATGCTTTATTTGATTAATGAACAATTGATTGATTTTATGCTAAGAGTAATACAATAGTAGTATTCTATTTAAATCATTTATAAATGTCTATCTAATATTCTAATTAGTTTACCTATTATATTATTATATAGGTACACTGTACACATCCGAAATAATAGTGTGCTCCAAGGCTCCCATGTCCAAGATACTCCTATGTATATTATACTATATACAAATATCTACACAGTAAAACACTATCCTAATTACATAATTAAAAAAAAAATGTTTAGAATGCATTAAGTAGGTAGTTAAACATTTTCAAATGTAATGTACTAAATAATATTATATTGAGTCATAATATCTATGTTGTGTATCTACCTAACAAATAAATTAACACCTTCAATATACTAAAGTAATAAATTATATCTACATGTTAAAATACAAAAGGTGTTTTTGTGTAGGTATTACTTTGGTTGACAGTTAAATTAAAAAAAACCATAGCACGCTACTCAGTATTTTTCCTATACCTACAAGGAAAATCTATGAAACATAAATATGTTCGTAAATATATATTTGTTAATAAATAATTATGACAACGAAAACTATACAAAAAATCTTGTATCCAGCCCAAAAATATATTAATGTTAAAATATTTATATTTAATTGCCAGTTAAAAACTAAATTAAATTTACATTTATAAAATAGTTCATATTTCATAATTAGTGGTTATTATTTTAATAGTTACAATGTATGATATATAATATAATCTATTAATTTTTTAGGTCTGTTTGGAGAAAATGGAGTATTACCAGCCAAAAATACATTGATTAATGACAGTCCTAAAATATTTGATAAATTCAATTTTAAACCTACATTATTATGGTTTTCATCAGAAATTGGTTTGAATGCTGAATATATGTTTGATGTAATATGTTTGTTTGGAGTATTTTTTGCATTCCTTGGGTAAGTTATCTTGAATTATCACTTGTGTAATTTATTAAAATATAATGAACTTGTTGTGTAAATAATTATGTAATTATGGGTATGTACATTAACATATTAATGTTTGTTTAATGTACAGCTTTTACTGTGAAGCTTTAGAATAAAGTATTTGATCAGTGTTAAGATACCTACTTGTTTGTATATTATAATTTATTAATAGGGCCTGACTGTATAGGTATCAAAGCAATAAATCATTTTTTTTTTGAATTCTTAACAGAAAATTAAACCTTGGAATAAAAAGACTTAAAATTAATATTGAAGATTGGGTATAGTATTTGAATGAGTGTACCTACTTCCCTATATTATATACAATTTGTATGTATTAAATATATTTAAATAATATATTTTTGATATTTCAAGATTTCTTTACAAATAATATTAATTTACATAACATAGTATAAAAATAATTAAACTGACTAAACTAAATTTAAATAGAGTATATGACCCATACATTTCTATACTAGATAAATAACCCAGAATATAACAATAACATAAATAAATAGTCTTAAGCTCATCATGATTTGTATCTGTAAAATTCCATTAATACATAAATTGCATATTATTTCAAAGATATTTATATTTACTCATTAGTTTACCATACAAGTTGTGATAATATAACAATTTATTTAAGGCCTAGTGTTTTGTTATAATATTTAATATAACTGATCCACTTATAGTTTCCTTTTAGAAAGTTAAAACCTATGTTTAAATAGTAAAAAACTGAGTCTAAATTGTAGAGGCTAAAGATGCTATTGTAATTCAGGTGTAAATCCAATAACTATTGTTGTATTATTCGTTTTTATTTAATACAGTGTACACTATTAACCGCGTAATAAGGTCTCTTGGATAAGCAAATTCTAAGGATAATCTGCTAAATTCAAAAGTTAAATTATTAAAAAAAAATTATAGTTATATAAATCTTGTAATGTTATATATGTAGTATTTAAGGAAAATTAAATGAGTACCCCTTTTATTTTTTGGATTAACCGATAACCCGATAACAACTCGGGTTGTATGTTAGTTGAATTAATCGATTCAATCGAGTAATTGAGAGTACACTGTACTATTAAATATTAATAGTATTATGGGTTTAAAAGATAGTAGTAAGTAAAAGTCAAAAAGTATTTGATAATTATAAAAGAAGTACTTCGTATTATTGTTGGTAATTTGGTATACATATTTAAATAATTAAATTATTGTATTAATTTCCCTGAAAACTTATTAATATGTTTTTTTTTTCATATGTTTAAGATTTTTGACACAAAAAGTTTGCAACAAATTTTTATTTTTCTCTCTGTGGATCTCATATTTATCATTGTACAATGTTGGTCAAATATTTTTGTCAGACTTAGCGTAAGTATTTTATATAATATCTATATTAGTTAACACAATTTTGTTGTCTTACAAATGTATTTAATTTAGGGATGAGCTTCTACTAGAAGTGGGATTATTATGCATATTGATTGCACCATTACCTTTTCAAAAATTAAGGACTCCTTCAAAGAAACGCAATTTACGTCTACAAACTTCGCTTGCATCATTACCTCATGATTCAATTCCTTTTTGGCTAGTAAGATGGTTGCTCTTTAGGGTAGCTTTTTCAGCTGGTGTTGCCAAAATGAGTTCTAAGTCATCAATCTGGTATGATTTGACAGGTATGTTACATTAAATATTTTTAATTATATTGTTTGCTCCATTTAATCGCAACATTATGTGGTACCTTAGATATTTTTCAGTCAGATTTTTATAATTTTGAAAGAAAAAGTACTCTGTTTGCAGAGAGAATGTGGTTGCGTACAAACCAAAACACGTACCTAGTCGCAAAAACCTACCTCTCCACTCCTCGCTCTCAGTTGTATATGAGAATTACCCACATTCTCTTGGCGAACAGAGTACCAATAGTTTTAAGTATTTATGAAACTATATAATTATTGCTAAATGATTTAAAATTTGATTTTTTCACAAACTTTATAATAACATTGTTTTTTAATATCCTGAGAAAATAGCCATACCAAATTAATTTCCTTAATATTACATTAACCGAATATAAATTCATACTAATGAAGAGCGTGAATATAAAATATAAAATAAAAAAAGCTCTGTTAATTAAGTTTTCTTGTTCTATACTATAAAGACTATTAAAAAAAAATTATTTAGTAGTAATAGCTTTGATTATAAATACTATAGATCTCTCACTGCGGTACAAAATATTATGTACTGATTTACTAGCAATCCTGTTGTTAAATGCCAGAAATTGACTGATATAAAATAAGATGCCTAGTCAGTTTCTGGCATTTGACACTATAGTATTTAATCAATAGTAATAGGTAACTACTATTAAGTCATAACATTAAATAATGCTGTGAATTATGTTCTAGAATTAAATAAATGTAATATTTTTATTTTATTTCAGCTTTATCCAAATATTTTGAAAGCATGCCTCTACCAAATGCTATTTCCTGGTATGCTCACTATTTTCCACTTTGGTTTTTGAAAACTATTACAGTATTTGCAGAAATTAATGATTTATTTGTCCCATTGATGTTCTTGGTACCCATTCGGTCAGTTAAAAAGTTGGCATTTTATATTCAGGTATTATTTTAATTTGATACTCAGTACAATATATATTGATTTAGTGTCTATCAAATGATTGCATGTACTAAAATAACTTAAATCTTTAAGGTGTTATTAAAATAACTTGTGTACCTACTACCTACGCAGTATACATTTTACTTATATTTTTAGGTATTCATGCAAGTTGGAATTTTGGCATCAGGAAATTATAGCTATTACAATCTTTTATACATAGTTTTATGTTTATCATTGTTAGATGACCATACATTTTATAGAGGTAAAAACATTTTGACTATTGTTAATACATTATTTTATAGTTAAAAATGAAATTATTTAACTTTATTAGAACTAGCTCTGGCTAGAACTCGCCAATGGTGTTCTACTGTGTTCACAAGACTTATGACGATCAATGTTATTACCGTACTTATAGCTGTTTTTCCCATGTTGTATAATTTCCGCATTTCCCCAGCAAATACACCAGATTTTACAATAGGTAATTTTTTAATTTTATATTAATATTCTAAACTTTTTTTTTTAATTATTTAATTGCTTTTTTTTCAGCATTTACACATCAACAATTTAATGTCATATTAGGCAAAAGTTTGCCCTTTATTGCCTATTTTGCATTAGGTTCATTTGTTTTTGAATGTTTAAAGGCACTTTATTCATCGCTGCCTTTAAAGAGTAAAACTGATGGTTCCTTTTCAGCTTTAATAACATCAACATTATATGTATCCATTTGTTTGGGTATATTCTCATTAAGTTCGGTCAATTTTTCTGCTCTTCATCAAAGTGTTAATAATACTGTTCCAAAGGACTTAAAACTATTTTACAATAAATTAGCTCCTTATAAAATTAGTAATTCTTATTTACCGCCTAAAGAATTCATCAATCTTGAAAACCGTAAAGAAATTGTAATACAAGGCGCTAGTGATATTAAAGGACCATGGTATGAATATCAATTCTTATACAAACCTGGAAATGTAAATGTTACACCACCGATTATTGGTTTGTACTTTGTTTTATATAATATTATAGTGTAAGATTATGTACTTTATTTAATTTTTATTTAAATAATACTTAATACTATTTTCAGCTCCTTACAAGCCTTTACTTGATCGCCAACTGTTTTTTGCTGCTCACTCTTTACCAGCTCAAAATCCTTGGCTTATGAGTGTTTTGTATCGTCTGCTAAATAATCAGAAAGAAGTACTCGCATTATTAAACACCAATCAAATACCATTTGGGAAAAATCCACCCAAGTTTGTTAAAGTATCCCTGTACAAATATCAGTTTTCATCAAAATTACAACGGTAAGTTTACTAACAATTATAAAATAATGGTTCATATTATTTGTTTAAAAAAAACTAATTAGTTAAGAGGACGTTGTACCCGTATGTCTTGTCTCTGTCCTACAAGTGCGTAACAGAAAATTTAATTCTCAGCAGTTCACGTTTATCTCCGTTAGTTTAAAAATTAGAGTGAATTGACCTCTTATAAAATTTAAAGGTAAGATTATAATCTGGGCAATGTTACAGGCTTTTTATTATATTTTAATTTCAAAGTGAGTTATGAGTATTTTAAGATGCTCAAACAGCTTACAATTTTAACATTCTCATAACTCGCGTTGAAATCAAAATTAAAAAGCATTGCCCAGATAGTAATCTTACCTTTAAATTTCATATTCAATTCTTTCTCTTAAATTATAGTATTTTATTAATTTTAAATATGGCTCAGATTTTATACTTTTGAATATTTTTATTGGTTGATCGTACTATATTATAACTGCTAAGTAAGTACGAAATATGCTTCGTAAAAGTTTGATTAAAAATATGAATTCTTTTAGATCACATTTACTGATTTTACAGTTTGTAAACCATATTTTAAGATTTTAGGGTCATGTAGGTTAGATTATTAAAAACATGCATATAATTTTAAGAAAATAAAACTAAAGATTTAATAAATACTACTTATTTAGTAGAAGCAAAATAGATGAATTCGACTTTGTTCCTACTAAATTATTGTTTTGTATCGTGTTTTTTTCTACATTTTACTATTGTTTTAATCAGAAATTTTAATTGTGCAATAATAAATAAGTGTTGCTATAACTTGTTTTATATTAATTTAAACCTTAAATTAAAATTTTTTAAATTTGGTTTTTGCTATACTCTGTCCAGCTAAAGGACACACCATTTATTATGCGCATCCCTCTGCGTTCCCCTACTATGAAACTGGTTTTCCTGTGACAGGATGTCGTGTGGGGATGCGCAGAAGAACTGTTTTTGTTGGTCTGTGACGTGTTTCCTCACTAGACATACTATAGCAGGGGTCAGTAACCTTCTCCAACAAGTGAGCCACATAAAATATTTTAAGTATCAGATACTCACTTTTTGTTTAGGTTTACTATTTTATATTATTACATGCAGCATCATAAATTATATAATATTATTCTTTCATTATTTGTCCAACGGAGAATTTTATGTTTTTCTTCTCTTGTAAATACTTTACCTTGTATATAAAGCGTAAAGGTGTATTTTAAAGTTTTATACTTTAAGGTTGCTCACATGATCAACAGATATTAGTGTAATTAATTTTTTAAAAAAAATCGATCAATATTCCTATAAAGATCGACTGGTTGACAACCCAGGGTTTATAGTATGTTTGGTACATAATTAATGGTACATTTTTAAGTACATATTTTGTGATATATTTATGTGCCCAAATTTAAATGTTATAATTATTGTTAAATAGTTGGATTTACAATAAATAATTACATATTATGTTTATAGGGAAAGAGGAGTTTGGTGGAATCGGCAAATACTTAATTCTGAATTCATAGCTCCAATGGATAAAAATAATCAAGTATTATTGGATACATTGAAGTCTCATAAAATTTTACTGAGTAATAGAACTCCTTTACCTGTGAACCCAGCTTTTAAACGTAAGTTTTATTTTTAAACATTTATTTTGTAATTATTTTATGCCAGAAATGATATTGAATTTTACAGTTTTTGGATTTTAATTAATATTAGTACTTAAAGTTATAATTTTACTATAAATTGAACAATATGAAAAATTCTTACAATTATAAATTTATAAAAAACAAATAAAATTGAATTGAATTTATCATAATAATTATTATAAATGTATGTTTTGCGGTTACATTATATAAGTTACTGTGGTGTAAGTTTATGGAATAGTCAAGAATTTACTTAGTTAATTTAGAGTAGCAATAATTATTTTATAAATAACTAATAAGAAATAGCCAATAATATTTATAGATTTACACTTTTTCAAATGTATAGGTACAATAAATATTGTGTTTATATATTTTCATATTGAAGTTTATAATTATCCAAGATGCAGTCAAACGAAGAGCGGACTAGTATGCAAAACGCTGCGGGCAGCGGTCCGGTTGTAATATTTTACAAAGACCGCGCTGTCAGTCCGCTTTCTGTTTGAATGTGCCTTTATTGTTATTAATAATTTCATTTTTATGAAAATATAAAATTTAATAGTAATTTTAAAAAGCCAGAAAGGATACATCTTTACAGAGACAATATTTTTTTTTTTTGGTTTTCTGGCCTTTAAGACCATCCCGTAAAACAAATTTCCCTCCATCTTATTCTGTTTTCAGTATTTCTCTCCAGTTTGCTCTTGGGTCCACTTTTTTAACTTCTCTCCTCACACAGTCTTCCCATCTGAAGCTTGGTCTGCCTAAGTGGTCTTTTTCCTTTCGGTTCCTCTTTAATTACTGTGTTTATCATAGCGTCTCTTTTCCTCCAAGCGTGACCTGCCCACATCAGTCTTCTTTTTGCGACTTCCCTTGTAATACATGGTCTTCGGAACAAGTTTTATAGTTCCTCATTGGTTCAAATTCTCCATTCTTCGGTTCTTGAGTTCTAAAGACAATATTATCAATATAAATTTGACTGCACTTGTTGATAAATTTTTTCTTACAATTATTGGACTGGAGTTATTGGTTCAAGTCTATGGTTCACCAAAAATAACTGACAGTCAACAGAAATATAAATACAAAAACATTTTACCTGTTTATTGTGTATAATACTCAATAAATTATGATATTACAATATAATAATGATATAATGATATTATCATCGTTGTTTTGATTTCAAGACTGGTTTGAACTCTTTTGTATATATTTTCTTCTTTTTTTAAATAATTTTACAAGACAGAAAATGTCTGAAGATTTACTATAACATTTGATTGATACTTCAATAAATCTATTTTAAGTTTAAAAATAATTGCAGTATTCAGGGTGTAACAGAAAGATCTAAAAAAATAATAATTATGCTATTTAATACAAAAATTGTGAAAATTATAATATGGTTAATAAATTATTTGAAGAAATATGCTCATGTCAGGAAATTTTCAAAAAGGTTATTAGTTATTACGCTTTAAAATTTACTCAAAAAAATATTAATATTTTAAAAAATTCTAAAAAATAAACTACTTAACTTATATAAATGTTTTACCATCAAAATTGTTTTTATATCAGATTTACAAATTGGCTATTTTGAATTTTTCCTAAAAAATTAAATCAAACCTTAGGTTATTATTTTGGTTTCAAAAAATTAAAATAATATAATTTTTATATTATACGTGTAGCACAGGGACTATAAATTAAATATTAAAAAAAAATGTTAATATTGATTAGATCAAAATTTATTTTATCTGTCAGGTCTTCCTGTTACACCCTGTATAGTGTATACTCTACAAATGTATTGCTAATTTATTTGGAGATATTCAGAGTTGAGATAATTTTTTAATATTGAAGTTTTCTTATATATTATGTTTGTTTTATTTTTAACGCATTGATAATAATTATTAATTAATACTAATAAACTGTGATCTTGGGTAGAAGTATACATACAATTATATAATGTGTAATCTGTAATCAATATAAAAATTAGACAAAATTTAATTTTATCATTAATATTTCTTGCTTGAAAAATTAAACTGTATTGTACCTAATAATAATATCAAATTAATAATTAATTACATATGAACATTATTGTTTGTATATTTTATTTGTAATGCATTTATATAAATGTTGTATGTGGTTAAAATAAAATTGTATTTTAGGTACTGGTCTAGTTAGTTGACGCCTGCCAAGAAAGTTTTCCCCCGCCACTCAGGTTTAGTTAACACACACCACTTGTTCTAATTATTTGTTAAAAAATGTATACACCGTAAAATGGTGTGAATAGGAACATAAAGATGAATAAGAACAAATTTAGAAAAAAATGTTATTAACTATGATAATAACTTAAATTTTCAATTATTAACAATAATTTTTTTTCAAAACGCTAATATCATTCATAAAACTAGGACTGACATGTATGATAGATTTATCTATTTTTGTTTTGAACACCTGAATTTTAGTTTAAATGTATAATCTATAAATAGTAAATACTGTATGAATTATTTTCATACTTTTTTTTATAAATTATTGACAGTGTTGGGTAGTAACATAACGAAAGTAACGCATCACTGAAATGGTGTTACCTAACCTAACCTTGTAATGCTTTACGTAATTTCATTTGAATTATTTCCAAGTAACGGAAATGTAATGGAAATTACTTTTGAAGAGTAATTTCTATAAAATAATGTGTTATAGTTTTGAATTATTAAGTACCTATCTACCTAATGCAAATTGAAAAAAAAATATATGTATAAAGCTGGTATTATTATGTTCACCAATATGTATATACATTTAATCTTAACTCACCACAATTCATTTTTGCACCTAAATCACGAGAACAGTTAATTAAATTTATTACTTAATTTGATTCCTTTAAATAGGTTTCCTATGAATAGCTTGTATGGAAGAACAAGTTTTTACGATCCTATTAACTATACAGGTTTTATAAAGAATTTGCTGGTTCAATTTGCCTACATAAGATAATAGCCAAGAAGTTAAATTTTTTTTTTTGGAACGAGAAAGTAATTTTATTTCAGTAACGAGTTAAGTAACTTAATTACTTTTTAAAAGTAACTTACCCAACACTGATTATTGATTAGAACATTGAAAATACGAAATAAGTAAATGGCGGGCATCAACTAAACTTGAGTGCCGTGGGGGAATACTTTCTCAGTTTTTTATGTATAATTTATATACCTAGTTAGACCTATACTATAGAATATATTTTACATTATGTGTAATTCATTTAATATTATAAACTATAATGCAGTTGTAAATTACACTTATTTATGTATGTATGTTTTTAATTACAGAAATATTGGACCAAATTAGATCAATTCTCCTGGCAGTCGATCCACGAATATTAATATTTGGATTTTTAATGGCTGGTTTTGTATTGATATTATTACCCGTCGGCTCCAATGTTTCTTCTATTTAAATGCAATTATTAATATAAAAGTTTGTGTGCTGCTGAAGACTTAATATGTTTTTTTTTTTTTTTTTATTCAATTAAAACACTTAATATTTTTGTTGTTAATCTTCCCAAGATGATCTGTGAACTCAGAAAGTATTCAATTAAAAAAAAAAAAATGTTGTATTTAATGTATATACACCTTTGTATTACTTTTATTTTGAATTTTTTATATTCTCTTTTATTTTGAATTTTGTGGTTTGTATTTACATTTTTTTTTATGTTATAATACATTAAATTGTGTTTTTTCTTTATATTATTTTGAGACTGTTGTGTTTTAAAATAATTAGCATAGAATCTCCGTGGGAAAATCCATGTGTAGTAATTTTGTATGTAGCAACAAAGTAGTGTGTTCACGTTTTTGTATAGCGGTTTTAGATTGTCATAATAATTTTTGTAGTTTCAGATTTGCATTTCACACATTAATAAATGAAAATGTATTAATATTTTATAGAATAATTTAATATATACAATAAATTTCTATTTCTTATGAAATTTAAATTATAATATCATTATAATTAATTGTCTAATAATAGCTTGAAACAAATAGAACGTGTTATCAGCAAACAATACGATTACCCATTCAATTTACTATTAAGTGAGAGTCTCACTGTGAGACCATACATACACAATGATACGTCACCTCGTACGATCATAGACTATTCTATGGTACGATTTAACCTTACACCAATCATGGAAGAGTCGTCGATCTGATGTTTGTTGTAGTCTTGTTTTAAAGTTATTTTTTAAATCATTATTCTTCTCTCTTCTGTTTTATTTATTTATACCCGCTGGACCCAGGATATTTATAAGCTCGAAGGTAAGTCCTTAAGTAAATAATATTAGTTGCATTATTTAGTATTTAGTAATTATAAATAGATTTAGAATTGATGCACGACGCTCGTAACTGAGTATCCAACGTATACTATATCATTTATTTTATAAATTATTAATATTAATTTTCTCAAAAAAATTATTTGAGCTAAATATAACGTGCTGAAATCTGAGCCAATGTTTGATAATATATCTCTTTCAGGCGTGTTGAACATGGGAAAAACAAACTCGTGTAGATTCGATAAATTATTGGAAATCGGTTTGACTTAGGTGGATTGATATTTTTATTTAAATCCACCTTGGTTTTAACATTAAAATTAAAGATTATTTTTTATTATTAATATTTATTTGCCGAAAAAATATTACATAACATATACAATCACTTATAATATTTCTACACACCTTTAAGTTGAAACTTGTGTTGGAGATGTAGTTCTGAAAATTAGGTTTGTACGTACATTGTTAAAAATTTTACGTGATTTAATAATACCTACTAGAGATTTGACAGTAATTATAAAATGTAACAATAACATAAAATAGATAAGATAAACAAGTACACCCTATACATAACGACATGGAAGTTAATAGGTTGAATATAAAATATTATATATAATAATAATCCTGAAAACATGATTGTAATTTGTATTTACAATTTTACAAGTAGGTACCTAGTTGATGTGCCGTAATCGTAAATCGTGATTTGGATACGCTAAAGCCTAATTAAGGCCCCCCCCCCACACATCAGCGGTGGCGTTAAGTTCTATTGATTGTCTATTACCGCCGCGGTGAACGGTGAAATGTGTCCTGCAGGAATTCACCGCCACGCCGCTGCGGTGTTCAGTGATAGATCCATAACTTAATATTGGGAGGGCAAAAGTACAAATTTTGGTTAAACAAAGGGTTTAATATAGGCATTTTATTCGGTCAAGTTAAACACACATTATATATTTAATAGGAATTTGTCCCGGTGACGTTAACTTATAGATACTTACATAGTTCATGTCACTGCAGTGAACTTAATATATAAACAAAATACAAGTCCGTTTAGTGGCGTCATTTGGGGTGGCAGGTTGGGTATTTAACCATTTGTCATTAGCGGGCCGGAAATGTTCTAGTTTTGGTCCTTTTTAGTAGCTAATACCTAGGTAATATGTTTAGGTATTCTTCTACATAATTATGTATTAATTATTTAGTCATTGTTATCTCTCAAAAAAAAATGGGTTATTTGTGCCTGTAATGATATGATAACATTTTGTAATGATAATATAGATAACCTAAAATGTTATGTAATAAAAAGACAGTTTAATAACGAAACGTGTGTTATTACAATGGCGCAGTCGGAAAAAAAACGAAAATGTGACTTGTAATTTGTATAATTCGTAGAAAAAGTAGCCTAGTTTCATGAGCAAATAGACAAAAGTGAGTTAGTGAGTATTTGTGTTAAATCGGTCAACGGGATAAGTTGTGTTTGCGTTAAACGGAAAACGCGATGGAACAGGATAAAGACTACATACTACCTTTTGAACCTTCCAATTGGGAAAAATGGAAGAGATCTATAATGATATTTATTTTGTCTCAAAATATAACTAAGGATACACAAAAGCAAGCTATCATACTGCACAGAGGTGGACAAGAGCTACAAGATATTTTTTTTGGAATACCAGAGCATGGTAATCCACCTGATGGAACAACGGTATTTCAACACACAATAAATTTGTTAGATCAGCACTTTATACCAAAGGTAAATCCAGTATTTGAAAGACATGTTTTCAGGAAAATAAGACAAGAAGTTAATGAGTCAGTCGGACAGTTTATATCAAAGCTAAGACAACAAGTAGCTAAATGTGGTTTTGCTGATGCTGACACAGAGATGTGTGATCAAATTATAGAACATTGTACATCTGACGAACTTAGACGGAAGTTACTCGAGAAAAATAACTTGAGCTTGTCAGAAATCATAGAAGAGGCCAAGCGGTTCGAGTTAGTAGTGCAACAAGCAGATACACTTGGAAAAAACGGAAAAGAAATGGTAAATAAAGTTACAAAGTATGAAAAAAAAAAGCAGTATAAAATGGAAAAGTTGAAAACCAGAAGTAAGGCATGCTACAGATGCGGGAACGAAAATCACTTAAAAAATGATCCTAGTTGTCCGGCGAAAGACAAAAAATGTGGGCGTTGTGGTTTAATCGGGCATTTTAAAGCGTACTGCAGAACAAAGTTACCTGCAAATACAAAAGAGCCAGGTAAAAGATATTCACAGCAAATGTCGAGGAGTAATAAAATAAATGCAGTCGAAGAAGCAAAAAGTGACGATGAAGCTATAGTGTTCCAAATATCAAAAAAAAAAGATTTGGTGACAAATTTGGTAATATGCAAAGTTGGTGGCACAGATGTTAAATTCTTAATTGATTCAGGATCAAGTTGTAATATAGTATCAGAACAAACCTGGAAAAGAAATAAAATCAATTATAAAAAAAAAGAAAGTGAAGTATCTCAAAAGTTATATGCATACTCTAGCAAGAAACCACTTGAAGTTATAGAAAAAGTAAGAACAACCATCAAGGTGTCAGACCGTGAAGAAATAGTGGACATATTTGTGGTAAAAGGTAATAACCAATCATTACTAGGGTATGAAACTTCAGTAAAGTTGGGACTCTTAAAAATTGGATTAAATATAAATGAAATAACGTCAAAAACTTTTCAATACAAAAGTAAATACCCAAATCTGTTTAATGGGATTGGCAAGTTAAAAGGAAAACAGGTTCAACTGCACATCAACGAAGTTATCAAGCCAGTTGCACAACAACATAGAAGGATTCCAATACATTTGAGAAATCAACTAGAAAATGAACTACTAAGACTTGAAAAATTAGACATAATTGAAAAAGTGGATGGACCAACACCCTGGGTCTCTCCCATAGTCTTAGTTCCTAAAAAAAATGGAGAAGTAAGACTTTGTGTTGATATGAGAAGACCAAACGCAGCCATCGAAAGAGTGCGTCACGTGACCCCAACTATTGACGATATAATAAGTGCTGTTAATGGGTCGAAAGTATTTTCAAAATTAGATCTCAATGAAGGATACCACCAGTTAGAGTTAGAGTGTGCTTCAAGGTCTATTACTACATTTAGCACCCATGTTGGCTTAAGACGATACAAAAGACTGAACTTTGGAATTAACAGTGCGGCAGAAGTTTTCCAAGACGAAATCAGACAGGTACTTGTAAATATTCCCAATGTAATGAACGTTAGCGATGACATACTGATATATGCCAAATCTCAAGATGAACACGACAATATCTTGGAAAAAGTACTTAGTCGGTTACAGGAAAAAGGACTGACATTAAATTATGAAAAATGTTTATTCAGTGTCAAGAAGCTCACATTCTTTGGGTACCAGTTTAGTGAACAGGGCGTCGAGATAGATAAAAAAAAAATCGATGCATTTATACAACTCAAGCCACCATCAAATGTGTCTGAGGTAAGAAGTGTACTAGGCATGATAAACTACTGTGGAAGATTTATTCCAAACCTAGCAGAGAAAACAAAACCATTAAGAAATCTAATTACAGCAAACAGAAAATGGTCATGGAGCACCACAGAACAAACAGCATTTGAAGAGTTAAAAGAAAGTATTGTAAAAAATGTAAGTAACGCTTACTATGACATACATAAACAAACTGAATTAATTGTTGACGCAGGACCAGAAGGCATTGCTGCCATTTTGGCACAATCACCGAATAAGATAATTGCTTGTGCAAGTAAGGCACTAAACCAAGTTGAAAAAAGATACTCACAGATAGAAAAGGAAATGTTAGCTGCAGTATGGGCGGTTCAACATTTCAAATTGTATTTATTGGGTTCCAATTTTATACTAAAAACAGATAACAAACCGTTAGTCTCAATCCTAAGCAGTCAAACAAAAGAGACATCTGTAAGGTTGGAACGATTCAGATTAAAGCTACAAGGATACAACTTCAAAGTAGTACATACGAAAGGTAACACGAATCCATCAGATTTCATGTCAAGACATCCAATAATTAATAATATGAAGAACAACGACTGGGATAGTGAAGTGGAAGAACATGTGAATACAATAGCAGAACTAGCAATACCAAAAACAATGACAAGAA